AATGAAATAATCAGATTGATTCTGTGTCTTTTTTTAATTGATCCTATTTACAAATTAATTGATTTTTATCCTATAACTGCCTAAGTCATGATTCTTTGTCTCTGAACTTAATTAAGAAATTTAGCTGCCCTGTAATGAGTTAAGTTTAGAAATCCAGTTCTGTTAATCATTCTTCTATTCTTGTGTAAAAGAAATCTGTTACCCTTAAAGGATGTAAGTGGACACCAAGGAGTCTGGTCTAGTATCTTTATACCACCAAGCTATCCTCCATGAATGTCTGATTTTTTACCCAAAGAAGTCTGGTTTGCTATCTCTGTCCTTGCAGATGCAGCTGGACCCAAACAATGAACATTTCTTAGGCACACGGGGGGGGGGGGTTGTTGCTAGCCTTCATTCCTAATTTCCATCCAATCATATTTTCTTCCATCTATGATGCTAGCCTTCCTATTTTCTATACTTCTCAAAACTATAAAAGAAAGCCATCCCCCTCATTTGGGGCCTTAGCTTTGCTAGGGAAGCCGAAGTCCTATTTGTTGGTAAATTCACACTTTACTAATAAATTGATCATGCTTAGAACTTTCTGCCTCAGTCTACCTTAATTTTACCTGTTACATAAGCAAGGGAATAGATTATGTCCTAATGTTGCTGAAAGTCCCAGATAAAGAAAGCTAGAAAGAATATTGAGCTCCTCTTAACTTCTATTCTGCAAAGGTCGCCTCTAAAGCTGAAACTATTCAAATCCAGCCTCAGACACATAATACTTACTAGCTGTGTGACTTAACACAGTCACTTAACCCCAACTGCCTCACCAGAAAAAAAAAACAGGGGACAATAAAGCTGAAACTACCAAAAGTATAGTCTGTAGGTGCTAGACACAAATTTACTCGGGGCGGAGGAAAGACATAATCACAAGGATAGGATAAAAAGACCTGAAAGCACAGTCCCACTCATTATGGAAGTGCACATCCCCATCTCACTGTGTTGATCTCTGTTGGTCACAACCAACAAGACCTGGAATAGCATGTTTCATATAGTTTGGGCTTGGGGGAGGGTGAGATGGGGGTGGGGATGGGGGAAGGAGCTAGAGGCAGGACAAAAAGGCAAAGGGGCAGAAAAGAATCTACTCTTTTGGGTCTGTGTACTGTTTGGGGACTATTTGGGGAACAGGGTGAGAACATCCGGAGTTATCTGACATGTTTAAAGAATCGGCCTAAGTATTGACAAACAGAGAAATCTTTTAGGCAAGGACTTGTTATACCACATAAGTAAGAATGCTATCTCTTCTTAGGCTGGTTAATCAGAAGAATGCCACAGACATATTGGATCTTGATTTCAATAAAGTACTTCTCAAGTTCACCATAGTATATTGGCAAGGGTGCTGGCCTCAGAGTCAGAGGACCCGGAGTTTCAATCCTGGTTCTGCTATTTGCTACATGTAATGCCTCTCTGGGACTTGGTTTCTGTATCTATAAAATGAGGGGCTAAACTTAGAGGAATGAAAGGGGTTCTCAACCCAACAGAATGGAGGGGGTCCAAATGATAATACCCTCATGGAGGATGAAGTGTGTGTGTATGTATGTATGCATACATATATAACACACACACCTGGGACGGGGGTTGGGAATCTCAAGATGAGTTTATTCTTTGAGGAGTTGATGCATTGGGAGACTAATTTCTCTGAGATGGTCTTTATCCTTTTAAGTTCCTTCCAGCTCCAAATCTTAGGATCCTATAAAGTCTCTCATAATATCCTTATGGGCAAGATGGAAAAATAGGAGATAGATGACTGTATGACTAAGTGGACTCACAGCTGGTTGATGAATGATTGCATACACCATGAGTGATATCTCCAGTGAAGTGCCTCTGGGCTCTGCCATTGACCCTGTCTCATTTAACCTTTTTGTGAATGACTTCAAGTAAAGGAGACGTACTTCTGAAATTTACAAATGGCCCATAGCAGAATCTGCCCTGCAAAAATCCCTTCCTTGCTTCCTTCAAAGCACACTCCAGGTGCCACAAGTTCTTAAACAACGTCTTCACTGACGCCCCTCTATCAACTATGATGGATCTCACTCTCTCTCATTTGTATATGCTTTGTATTTATTTACTCAGCTAACTGTAACAGGGCAGGTACATATCACACATACAAAAACCACACACAAAAACACATATAGCACACTACGCACACTACCCTCACATATAGAGACATCATACCTATCACACACATAAATACATGGACCATACACACACACATATACTACAAGAAACCACACATCCATACCACACACAATATACACCACACATATACATACTACACACATACCACACACACAAGTGCTATAGCTACCACACACATAAACACATACACCCCACACACAAATACATATACCACACATAAACACACCAAGGAGAAGGCAAGCTCTCTGAGGGAATGAGAAATTCATTTTTGTATTTGTATCCCCCAGAGCCTTGCACTTTGCTGTTGGAAGGGACCTCAAAGGCGTAACAGGACAAACCTCTCTTTTTACACTTTGGCAAGCTAAGCTCCAGAAGCTAAGACATTTGCCCAAGGTGATCCAAGTTAAATAAGTACTGGGGCCAGGGTTTGAACCCAGGTCTTCTAACACCAAAGCCACCGTTCTTTCCACTGGTCCTTTAGACAGAGTAGTTGGCCTCCCTAAAAGAAAAGACATTAGTGGAGTTTCCTACCCTATGTACCTTGAAGGATGTTGTGAAGGTCAAATCAGAGTGTATGTTAAAAAAGCCTGGCAAATTGTAAAACTGTTAAAAAAAAAAAGGGAGGGGGATTATTAGTATTAAGCTGATAGAGTCATAGAATAGTAGGCTCTGAGTTGGAAGAGACTTTGAAGGCCTCCCAGACAATGCAAGATTGTTTTGCTTTGTTTTTTTTTACAGCATTCCCTATAGACTAGGGAAGGAAAGAATAATAAGCATTTATATAGTGACTATATATAAATATATACTGCCAGGTACTTTTTGTACTTAGACACACATCCCTTTAAAATTAAATCCTCACAACAATGCTGGAAAGTGGGTGCCATCATTATCCTCATTTTATAGTTGAGGCAAACAGAGGTTAAATGACTAGTCCAGGGTCACCCAGCAAATAAACATCTGAAGTAGGATTAGAACTTGGGCCTTCCTGAATCCTGGGCCATCATTCTATCCACTATACCACCAGCTGCCTAGTGATTAATATCCCATTCCCTAGATTATTCTAGTGCTGGACAGCAGTTGTGGAAGACTCTTCCTTATTTAAGGAATTGAATTTAAGGACTGAAATTATCCAGAATTCTCAACCGAATTAACCAATCAGAGGTATGAACCAGCTGCAAACAAAGCATAGCCATCTCCATTGGATCAATCAAGCAATCAATCAACCAACCAAAGGCTTTTCAATTAGATATAGCAAGAAGTGTATTATGATTGACAGGAAAAAAGTCACAGATCTACTGGGTTTGTAGAAAATAGCAAGTCACTCTGGATTCCCATTCCAGTGTCTGGCCAGCAAGCCTCTGTGAGGAAATCACTTAGGGAAGAGCACCTCGATCTTTCCTCCCTCCCCCTTAACCACAGCATGACCTTGTGAACTTCAGAGGGTTCCAGGAATTGGAATGCTCATCGGTGTCCCAGCAGCATCTCCTGGGACAGCAGTGCATGATGGAAGAGATAGCAATGACAGTTGGTGGTACGATTATCAGGATATTAGGACAAACTAGATAACCTAAGGAAAGGTAACTTCAGGAGTCTGCAAAGAGCACAGAAGACAGCTACAGCTCACCGAAAGAGAACATTCTGAATAATCCAGCAAGCTCCAAGTTACTCCTTTGTTATATATGCTCTAAGCTCAAGTCCATTTTCCCTTGGATTACAGAAGGAAGCACACCAGTGAGGGTGTTCATGAACTAGAAAACCACTCCTTTATCTCCTGTGGGTCCTCTAGAGCTCTGAGAGGGGTGCAGTGTCCTTGGGGAGTCTTCATTGTTACGGGGGGCCTGGGGGTGGTAAGGAGGGAATAAACATTCTCACCAGGAATTCCTAAACTCTTGGGTATCATAGACTTCTCTGGAAGTCTGGTAAAGCCTTATGGACCCCTTTGCAGAGTGTTTTTAAAGGCATAATAAACAAATACATAGGTTTACAGAAGAAAATTATGCTGAAATACAGTTACCAAAATCTCTTTTAAAAACAAGTGATTGGACACCAGGTTAAAAACTCCTGATTTACAGAGATAAATAAATATAATGCAATTAGAGCTCAGATGCCATCTCCTACAAGAAGCCCTGTGTTGGCAAGGACCTTTTCCTTCCAGGACCTCATAAGGTACTTGGCTGTTCACCTCATGTCTGCATTTATCCCCTATTTTGTGTAAGTTGTCTCCTATTAGATTGCAAGCTCCCAGAGGACAGCAAACACTCATCTATACTTTGCACCTTCTCCATTGCTCTAGACTAAGTAGATACTAACAAATGTTTGCTGAATTGATTCAGTTGGTTGCTGAAATTAACAAACTCTCTCTCTCTCCCTCTCTCTCTCTCTCTCTTTCTCTCTCTGCCATGCAACTCAATCAAAACCACATTGTTATTGTTCTTGTTCAGTCATTTCAATGTGTCTGTTTGACTCTTTGTGACCCATTTGGGTTTTGCTTGGCAAAAGACACTGCAGTGATTTGCCACGTCCTTCTCCAGCTCATTTTACAGATGTGGAACTGAGGCAAGCAAGGTGAAGTGACTTGCCCAAGGTCACACAGCTACTAAGTGTCTGAGGCCACATTTGAACTCGGGTCTTCTTGACTCCAGGCCTGATGCTCTATCCATTGTGCCTCCTAGCTGCCCCAATCAAAACCTGCCCTGGGCCAGTGCACTCATTCTTTCACGTGTAATATTTCAAAACGAAATGCTTTCTCCATGGAGCCCCCTGCCACACTGCCCTCCTTTCCACTTTCCCTTCCCATGCTTAGCAGCAGCAGAGTTCCTCACCCTCCGGGATCTGGGCTTCGGTGACACCGCCCTCTTCCGGCTTCAGTTCATCATTCTGCTCCATGCTCTCCACCTCCATCCAAAAGTCATCCAGTGAGAGGCTCTCTATGGAGGGCAGCCAACAGTTTGGATCCTCCAGGGGCTCCCAGTGGGAAGAGCTCTTTGATGGAACCTGGCTCATGCTGCACGGGAAAGTGGGATTTCTGCAAAGAAAAGTAAAAATCGCTCCATAACGATGCAGTTTGATAAGAAAAAACGCTGGGAATGCTGAAAAGAAGAATCAGTCAAGAAGGTACGCTGAAGCGAACGGGACATTGTTGTTGTTGTTTTTAATTTTTAAGTTTAACATTTGAAAATTCTTAAATGTTAAAGATTCTGTTCTATTACATCACAATAATAACTACCACATACAAATTGCTGTGAAATTTGCAAAATGTTTTACATACATTTTCTTATTTAAGCCTCACAGCAACCCTGTGAGGTGGACGTCTCAGGCATTTTTTTTAAACAAATGAAGACAATGTGGCTCAAGGGGGAAATGGGACTTGCCCAGCACCACACAGATTGTGCCAGAGGCAGGATCTGACTCCAAGTTCACATTCTCTCCTGCCTCTCCAACTCTGATACCTCCAAACTAAACCAAGGTGGGAAAAAGCAAGATTATCAGTGATATATCCATTTGCCAGAAACACCACCTTCCATGGCCGTGCAAGTGACACAATGGATAATGTTGGAGTCAGAAGGACCTCAGTTCAAATCTACCTCTGACACTTACTAGCTGTGTGGCCCTGGGCAAGTCACATAATCCTGTTTGCCTCAGTTTCCTCATCTGTAAAATAAGCGGAAAAAGGAAATGGCAAACGACTCTGGTATCTTTGCCAAGAAAATGGGGTCATGAAGAGTCAGACACAACTGAAACAAATGAACTACAAATAATAATAATAACACTTATGTCAACTATAATAAAGTGCTACTTAAAAAGTTCAGATTTGAGAGAAATCAAGATTGGCCAGGGTGTCTAACTAAATAATACGAAGAATTTTAATTTTTTTAAAAAATCTGTAATACCAATACTATCTCCTCTTTTATGGCTTCCTTTCCTCCAATGCAACCTCTTACGATTATCTTGTTATCCTGGGCATTGCTCATGTTTATTCACTTTGCTGCTCAACTTAAAAGAGCTTGTGATGGAAGACAGGAAAGCTGAGCACAGTCTGACATGCACCCTAAATTTTGAGAATGAAGATTTCAAAAGCTTCAGAGAAAAGACAAGTAGGATCCCATGAATTCAAATTCTATAGGGGAAGTCAGCAAAAGAAAAATAGGAAGCTCTCCAGAATGAAAATTTTGAAAACCCAAAGAGAAACAATTCCAATGAGGAGGAAAAAGGGGAAGACAGATGATGCAAGGCGTATCTAGGTACAACTAGGTGGTACAGTAGATAGAGTGCTGGGCCTGGAGTTAGGAAGACTCATCTTCCTGAGTTCAAATCAGGCCTCAGACACTTACTAGCTGTGGACCCTGGGCAAGTCACATAAGCCTGTTTGCCTCAGTGTCTTCATCTGTAAAATGAGCTGGAGAAGAGAATGGCAAACCACTCTGGTATCTTTGCCAAGAAAACCCCAAAAGGGGTCATGAAGAGTCAGATATAACTAATCAACTAAACAGTAACAAAAGATGATGCAAAGGGAGTTCATTGACCATTGGAGATCTTAAAAGGAAATGTACAGAAGATGAACTTAAGGTCATGGAATGGAAGATGAATACTTAAGTATAACAGCCACTAAAGAATAATGTAAGAGCTCAATGACTGGAATGGATTCAGAAGCTGAGGACAACCGGAAAGAACATTTTTAGCTATGTTGTGGGAAAGGGGAGCACGAGAGCAAGGATAGGACTACTTTGGGGGCAGCTAGGATGAGTGAGAAAAAGGAAAGCTTCTCACTTCTCACCGTCTTTATTTCTTTGTCAAGGGGAATAGACTTTAATTGGAAAGGTGACGAAGAAAAAAAGCGAGCAAAGGATTTGAAACCCAAGATAAGCAAGGACATGGTAAGAAAGCATCTAGCTGCCCTCAATGAATTCCAATCCCCAGGGAATGATAAACCACATCCTAGGGTACTGAAAGAACCAGCGCATGTGATTCAGGTCAAGCTACTGTACATTACCTCTAACAGATCATCATGAACAGGAATAGTTCCAAGGGATTGGAAAAAGATAAATACTGCCCTGATTTTCAAAAAAGGAAACTGAGTCTGAACTTGACTTCAATTCCTGGCATGATTCTGTAGCATATAATTAAGGTATGCCTTGCGAACATCTAGAAAGAGAAACTCTGAAAGCCAGCATGACTTCCAAAAACAGGTTGTACCAGACTAACCTCATTTTCTTTTTTCACAGCATTACCAGACTGGTAGATCAGGATAATGCCACAGACATAGTTTACCAAGACTTCAGTCAAACACTCAACAGAGTTTCTCATGCTACCCTTGTGGACAATATGGAGTAATCAGTATACCTAGGCTAATTCAGAAATGGTTGAATTCAGAACTAGACCCAAAGAACCATCATTAATGGGAAAAAAAAAAGCTTGATGTCAATTTGGAGAAAGGTCTTTAGTGGACTGCTTCAGGGGTCAGCATTTGGTTCTGCTCACCGTTTTTCATCACTGATTTAGATCAAGGCATAGATGGTATGTTTATCAAAGTTTCTGATGACTTAAAGCTGGAAGGGATATGGTGGATGACCAGGCTGGAGTATAAAAAGATCCTGACCCAATGAACAAAAGTCAGTATCATAATACAAGGGGGTGGAGGCATGGTGAAACAGGGTTCACATGGAAAAAGGGTTGGGGTTTTTAGGACATTTCCAGTTCAGTATCATTCAACAAGGTAATATGGAAGTCAAAAGTGCTAACATGCTCTCAGGCTACACTGAAAGGCATGATATCCAGAATGAGGGAGGTGACAGGCTCATTGTTTTAAGCCACAGTCAGAGGACTGATGACATCAGGATAATTCAGCTGAGTTCTATTCACATTTTATTTCATTGTCATTTCTATTCCATATTATCTTAATAAATTCTACTAATTTTTTGTCTTTGCACGAAAGTCATTTCCCACCCCTCTCCAGATTAAACCCCCTTCCCCGGGACAAAAACCATAGCTGACAACATATACATTGTTCTGTCCCAGTAGTTCCTACCCTTTCTGCCACGAGTGAGGAGATAAGCTTCATTTTTTCATCTCTAAAACTTTCATTGGTTTTTCATCTACTCAGATTTCAACTTCTTTTTAGTGATCTTTTTCCATTTACATTGCTATAATCATTTATACGTTGTTTTCTTGGTTCTGCTCCTCATACCATATCAGTTCATACCAAAAAATGCCATGATTCTCTGAAGTTCTTATATTTGTCATTTGACTTCTGCATATCTGTCATTGCTACATTCTACAAAAGTCAAGCAGCAGCATTTTGTCGAGCAATGTTGAGTAAATGGAAATCATAATGTCCAAGGTTTGATTGAAGGAGCAGGACTGGGATAGGGGCTGCACCTCTGGTATCGCTGGTAAAGGGAGCTTCCAGATGAGGAAGCACCTCTATCAGTGCAGTTCACCACCACCTTGCAGTTTATAGTCTCATAGAGTTGTCTACAGTAGCACTGTCCAAGCCTTACTAATCATACACCTTTTCTTAGTAAAAAATGTTTGAGCGCCCATTCTTAATAGGTGTATATTCATTTATAAATAAATTATGTACATGTGCTAAAGTATAAATAATTATATATATTATGAAGCAAAATAGAAATTAAAAGGGGATAAGACAAATATTTTAAATAAAATTTGATACTAGAGTCAATAGTAAGCCACAGGAGTTTACTGAGAAGAGAAGTGACATGGCCAGATCTGAGCTTTAGAAAATCATTTTGGTGGAGGAAAATCACAGCTGAGCAGAGCATAGATTGCAGTAGGGAGAGGAAATTTAAGGTGGGGAAACCAAATAGGCCAATATGCTTGGAATAGTAATGTAAGCAATGTTGTACAGGTAGAAACAAGACCTGGCATTTGATTGGCTGTGTGCAACGAGAGAGAACAAGAAGTCAAAGAAATCAGGACACAACCCCCATTTTGGAAACCACTGGTCTAGGCGGTAAGAGGTCAAGTAACTTAACCATGGTCACACAGCCATAATGTGTTGGAGGTGGGGTGGGACTTGAACTCAGGTCTTCATGGTTCCAAAGCCAGCTTTCTACTCCATAACACCTCTTCAGTTAAGGAAGCAAGGGATTTTTAACTTGGAGAAAAGAAGCCCTGGGGGGACAGGGCAGTTTTCTTCAGGTATCTAAGAGGCTAACACATGAAAGGGGGATCATAATTGTTTTGCTATTCCCTAGAATAAGGAGCAATAGGTAGAAGTTGCAAAGAGGCAGACAGGCTTGAGGTAAGGAAAACTTTCTAAAATGATTACTGCTATTCAAGCTGAGAGGGCAGCTAGTGGTGCAATGGATAAAGTGCTGAGCCTGGAGTCAAGAAAACCTGAGTTCAAATCTGACCCCAGACGTTTACTAGCTGGGTGACCCTGGGCAAGTCACTTGCCCCTGTTTGCCTCAGTTTCCTCATCTATAAAATGAGCTAGGGAAGGAAATGGCAAACCACTCCAGTATCTTTGCCAAGAAAACTCCAAATGAGGCCACAAAGAGTCAGACGTGACCTAAAATGACTGAACAACAAAAATTCAAGTCAAGTGCACTACCCCAGAAGTAGTAGGTTCCCTCTCACTAGAGGTCTCAAAGCAAAGACTGAATGACCCTTGGTTGTATATGTTATAGAGGAAATATTTGAGCCGACAGAGGCTGGACTAGAGAGCCTCTAAGGTCCTTTCCAACCTTCATGCACTTGGATTCTCTGACTGGACTCAAGTTCCAGGGGCACACTTGTAAAGAAGCAAAGTGGTGCAGTAGCCAGAGAGTCAGACCCAAACCCAGGCAGACTTTGTTCAGGTACCACCTAGTGACTCTCAGCAAATCACTTCACCTCTTCACACTCTTGGTAGCTCTGTAAGTCTATAAGTTGCAGGGAATGTACCCACCTGCATGGGTAGAGGGTGTTTCCTCAGCTGATAATTCTCCGGGGGTGAGGGGAACCTGTGGCCTGAAGGCCATATGTGACTAGCCTTCTAGGCCCTTGGGTGCAGCCTTTTGACTT